AAAAAATCAAGAAAAACTCACACATATTAATATTGCGGATGGCTAAAAACGTAGAGGAAAACCGAAGAAAGTATGGATGAATTGGGTGGCAAGGCTTAAGTATATCCTTTTTACACAATCTATACATTCTTCGGTCATCCTCAATCTTACTAATCTTACAAATATTCAAAATGCGAAAGTTTGGATGGATGGATAGATGTTTGTTAGAGTTACCCTAACGGCTAACCCTAACTAATAAACGGCTAAACGGATCTTGATGAAATTTGGCATATATGTAGAGGATAGTCTGAAAGAACATATAGACTACTCAGTTTTGTTTTTTTTTTTAATTCCACGCGGGCGTAGTCGCAGACGGAAGATAGTTCTTAATAATTTTAAGTAAAATAGATCGTAACTTATAATCATGCTTCCCATCCGTACCATAAGAATTTAGTAGCTATTTATATTGTCTGATTTACATTATAGCGACTTGAATACGCTGGGAATCGTACCAAGGATCCGTTAACTTTAAAACGGTATTTACCACTATTGTAGGTCTTAAAATAAAATGTAGGTTAGCGTGTAAATTATTTAAAGAATTGTGCGACCATCATAAAAGTTTTTAATTCATAAGATGACCTTGATGTCTATTTTTAATAAGCGATATATAAACAATAAAACTTGACATTTATTGTAATCTATACTTCTATACTAATGTCATAAAGCGTAAACACACTACTTCGTGGCGTAAGATGTCAGCAATCACAGCATATTTTTAAATAATTATTTCTTTAATAAAAAGCCCTACACTTACAACATGCTTTAGGCTATATATTTTTTTGCTATTAAACTTAGGGATAAATACATTTAAAAAAAAACCTTCATGAGGAAAAGGAACCATAAACTACAAGCTACCAACATTACGTAAGCAAGATTATTATGGTAACAGTAATTTTTACATTTCCATTCGACAAATGTAAATTGTAAAACAAAGTTTTTATAATTTCATGCGGATAAAGCCTTACTGGATTACAATAAAGCGAATTGCAGTTTTAGATTAATTCAGCTATGACGCAAATTAAATTAAAGTGACAATTAAAATAGATAAAAATTTAAATTAAAAACAAAAAATAGAACTGTCGTCGAAAAGGTTATTTGTTTAAAATTAAATTGGTTATGCCACAAATTATTGATGTAGTTACCTTTTCAAAAAAATCAAGTCAATCAACTGTCAACTTTTGAAATAGATATAATCTTTCCAATCGAAAATTTAAAATAAGAACTATGTTTTTGAACCACCGCAATGCAATATGGCTTTATATTTTTGTAAGCATTTTTATAAACATAATTGCGATCTTCCGTCTAAGTTCTCAAGGTAGTTGACCAAAACTGACCTTCGTTTCATAATAGTAGAAGATTTTGCATAATAATTACACTTATATGTGTAACAGATGACAGATATTTTGATAAAATCTAAAATTTTAATTTGCGTTTATGCTAAACATTAAAGTCAGTAGATAATCAGTTTTACACGTGTTATAGTCAATTTATTTTGAGTTGTCTATTGATATGGTTAATATATAAGATTTAGTTATCTTAGAAAGACATTTCAGATCGTATCCACTTGCCCTTATCCCTTACGGAGGGTTGGCACAGTATGTGCTGCTCTTCCATACATCTCTATCAGCCGTCATATCTGAATCCACTCCTTTCTTAAGCATATCCTCTTTCACACAATCCATCCATACTTTCTTCGGTCTTCCTCTTCCTTTGTAGCCATCCACATTCAATCTTAACACTTTCTGATTTATGTCCCCATCATTTTGTCGCATAACATGTCCATACCACGCTAACCTTTTGCTTCTCAATTTCTCCAACACTGGCGCTACTTTCAAACTTCCTCTAATGTACACAATCTTAACTCTATCCAATCTTGTCACACCACACATCCATCTTAACATACGCATCTGAGCCACATGCAATCTCCTTTCATCCGCAACTTTGGTGGCCCAACATTTCAGATCGTATATTACACACTTAAACAGATATACTGAACAATGGTTTTAACTTAATTTTGACTGATCTCTACCTGATTATCTTTTTTTGCATAAAATGTACTCGATACGCTTTTAAATAGCTGGAAGGATTAATTAACTACTTTTTTTTTCACATGGCAACGCGCGACAAGTCAGCCAGTATTTAGTTTTTAACACCATGATATAATCGATATTGGTATTAAAGTTCAAGGTTTTCGTGTTAGGTGGACAGATGGCGGTTATTTACTTTGGACATAATCGTGTTGTCCTACACGTTTGTGTATGAGTCACAAACGTGTAGGACCACATGTCCGGTTTGGTACCGCTTCCTTTAGTAAAGAAAACACATTTCATACCGATATTTTCTTGCTGGAATCTCATAAATTATGTTAACTATAATTTTCATCGTATTCTCTGCCTACCATTTCTGGTTACGTGTGTAATTATTATTATGTATTAATTGTGGGTCCCTTTTTTAAATCAAATCGAGACTAAAATAGTTTTATTTGATAAAACATCGATCGGCGATTGTTTTGCAGCCAATTCAACTGTTTAATTGCACTACAAAAAATCAAGTATGCGCACCTCTATATAGGCTTATAGGAATTAAAGCAAAACTAAACAGTTGTGCGATAGTTCAGTCAAAAGTGTACGCGCTCTTAGTAATTATTGGTACATGTTAAGGACTGGGTGACTTCAATAGGGTTAATAGGCATATCACCAATTCACATTAGGATAGTGGTGGAGCGTTAGTCAGTTGTCATAAAATTATTCCAAATAATTAACGTGTATCGATTTTTTTGAGTCATTTGTGATCTAAGATCTTCCTGAAATCAGATTTATGCAATTTAAGTCGTTTTTTGTTATTAATCTTTAAATGTCTAATATAAATTTTAAATCTAAAATATTTTATTTAACCATTCACCTAATTTTCAAGTACATTTCCGTGAGAACTTATGGTAATTATCAATTTAATTTGGCAAAATAAATAAAACGTCGCATTGTTAGCTTCGCTTTTTTCTATACTATTCTATTTGTATGTATTGAAATAACTCAAAAACTGTAAGGTCCGATTTTAAAAATTCTTTCATCATTAGACTGTTATCGCTGGATATGTGGCATTTTTAATTTGTTTTTTGGCTTTATTATTAGCTGACGCCCGCGACTCCGTCCCCGTGGAATTTAAGTAGCCTATGTGCTCTATAACTTTACCAAATTACATCGAGATTCGTTCAGCCGTTTAGGCTACAAACTCTAACATCCATCCATCCATCTAAAATTTCGCATTTATAATATTGTTAAGATTAGTATGATTTGTAACCTCAGTAACAATCTACGGTAATGAAATAACGAGCGATATTTTTAAGAGAGATTTAAAATATGTAACTATATATGCTATACTATACTATACTATCTTAAGTATATTTGAATATCTTTGTTTTCACCATAAATATAACAATATCACAAAGGTCGGTAATCTTAAGCCCGTGTTAAATGCGAATAATGATCGCAGTATTATCCTACAAAAGACATAAAATTCACGCAATGCAATTTACAAAACAAACATAACCGTGTAAGGATATCACAAGTAAGTATTGTGACCTCTAATCATGTACTAAGAAAACAAGAAATATTCTTTGTTGCGTTATGGAAAAACACAAGTTTCACATTTATCTACTTATTACAATTTATAGTACAACTAGCTGTCGCCCGCGACTCCGTCCGCGTGGGATTAAAAAAACAAAACTGAGTAGTCTATATGTTCTTCCAGACTATCCTCTACGTATATGCCAAATTTCATCAAGATCCGTTCAGCCGTTTTGGCTACAAACTCTAAAAAACATCCATCCATCCATCTAAAAATTCGCATTTATAATATTACTAGCTGTTCCCGTGCGACTTCATCTGCATGTAATTATGGAAATTTTATTTTATTGTTTACATTTGTCAAATTGTCAATTACAAATGTCAAAATGACATAACATGATGACAACCTTGCTTTCTTGATGTTGGCAGCAACTTATGGTCTCTTTCCCACATTAGGGATTTTATCCAAAATATTCATCCATTATAAGTTTAATGGCGTTAAAATATATAGCCTAAAGCGTGACGTAAGTGTAGGGCTTTTTATTAAACAAAGGGTTATTCGAAAATATGCTGTGATTGCTGACATCTTAGGCAACAAAGAAGTGTGTGTTTACGCTTTATTATAATATATAGAATATAGATATAGATAGATAGATATATAGTATAGTAAAGTATAGATAGTAAGTATCAGTATGAAGTATGATGTCAAATCCGAGATTTATGTGATTGAAGAAATCATTTCATAGTGCTTTAATGACTTGCTACTAGTGTACGTTGGTTTGTTGTAAAACTTGATAAATATCAGTTTATAGGTAAAACAGATGACAGTCAATCATTTTTACGAAGAAATAATTAAAATGCTAATTTATAACTTGGGGAAATCCGTGATAACGTCAACATAGTTGTATGCAACCATTTACCGGTAGAAAACATACTGCAACAATCGATTTGTTTTCCATCTACAATTGTTACTTCAGTGGAAACCTACACTAAGTAAAATAGAAAGATAATAAAACGAGATATTCTGGTCTTTAAATTCTTCGCGGACTCATTATAATTCTGCGCATACATACCTAATAATTAAATGTAATTATACAATTAGTTCCACATCTTGGATTTAATTTTTTTAGTTGGTAGTGTGTTGTTAATATTTTTTTCGAAGTACTTACCGAGGTTTTAGAAGTTTTTTACATATTTAATATGATATAATAATATGCTATTAGTACCGACATATCTCGGGTTTAATTGAAGCTTTAACTGGCTTTAGAACAAAAAAATAAAATTTTCTACAAACTATTCCATACCAGATTTATAGTAATTAAAAAAAATGTAGTTTTGTTTCAATATCCACAAAACAATTTTATTTTATATTTTAAATCTTTGAATTTAAGTACTCACCTTAAAAGTTTTTCAACCAACAATTTACCGAGGAAACCAGTACCACCGGTGAGAAATATTGTAGCTCCGTCAAACAGTTTTCGTATCTGAGACTCTCCGAGTGCATCATTTTCATCTACCATATCTAGATATGTGATATCGCCTCCTTGCTTCAATTGTACATGTTCCGATTCTTCTGAGACAGCCATATCTAGAACAAATAATTAACTTTAAACTTTATGCCTAATGAACAAGGTGCATAATACTATAAGTATTTTTTATGATCTACTCGATACATGGTCCTTTGAGTCAGATAATTCAATTTTTATCCCAATATAATTTAATTTTAAAATCTGTTTTTGCGTAGCTGTTTCTCTAGTTCTCTAGAAGATTCTATTTAAGAAAACACTAGCAGGAAATTAGTTGTTAAATTATAAAAAAAAAACTTGTTTGTTTAGGTCTTTTGCATTAAATTGGTTAACAAATTTGGTTTCTTCTTATCATTTAAATATACATTTTGCAATCTAATGTATAATTTTATTTTTAATAATTATAAAACATACGTGAAGAAGAATTCAATTGGCGATATTTGAAAATATTTGCATTAACTCGTTAAAATAACGGATCGAGTTGTGTCAATGGTAAATACTGTTATTGCAAAACATTTTATGTGTAATCGAGTATTTGCTAATTAATTGTTAACGATCGGCTGCTAAATATACAAATGCATGTACATCTGACAATATTGATATTTAAAGATACATTTATCTATACTTATATAATAAAGCGTAAACACACACTACATTGTGGCGCAGGATGTCAGCAATCACAGCATATTTTTAAATAATACTTTTTTTAATAAAAAAGACAATTAGACAAGACAATTTAATTCACTATCAAGGCAAAATCCTGATATAGATTTGTTTAACACTAAGCTTCCTAACATTGTAAGTAATTTAAGTGATAAATTCTTTGATTGTCCGACTCCCTAGCCACTTACATTACATCTAACTTCTAAGATTTTTACTATTTTTAATATTTTTACATTTATCTCATTATTCATGTTCTGTTAGCGATTATATCATTATTTTCATTGTTCATTTGCGAAAATTAACATGTCTAGTTTTCCTGCATAATAAAAAATAAAATAAATAAGATGAAATGAAAATAAACTAAATTGGTAAATAAATTGAATAAAAATGTGGGAAAGAGAGAGAGAAAGAGTTGCTGCCAACATCAAGGAATCAAGATTGTCATCATGTCATGTCATTTTCACATTTGCAATTTATAATTTTATAAATGTAAACGATAAAATGAAGTATTTATAAATACCTGCGGATGAAGCCCCATGAGAAAAGCTAGTACATAGATACGACTAATGGGTGACCATAAATACTTGTATAGATACACTGTGACTTCCTGGTTTAAATGATTCAAGTGCAGTAAGAATTACTTTGATATATGCTCACTGTGTCATATAACTTTGTCCGTCTATACATATATATTTTATTTTAGAGCTTAACTAAAATCTAGATATTTGTATGTATTTTATGTAGACGTTGTAACGATTAGTTTTTATATTCGTATGGTCTGAGAAAAACAATGTGAAATAAATTACTCTGTAATGTAGTTTTAAATGTTTCTGACGACGATATTCTTGAAGACATTTTTATATTCTCTTAACTTAGAATACATTATTTTTTTTAGCAAAATTATATGGTTAGGATAATTATGTTATTCAAAATTCTAATTGGGAGTAATTTACGTGAATTACTGATGTGTGTACAGTTTTATGTATTCAATTACAAGCTTAATTATCATCAAGTTTCTCAATCTAGTTTCTAATATAATTCAATCGGGGGTTTTCTGACAACACAAGACATGTTGCCAGTGTCAATAACATGAAATTCCGCGTTCGATGTAATTTAAAATTTATCTGAGTGTTTTAAGTCAATGTTGAAAAATTTCGTCTATTCTATTACTGTAAAAATTTGAACGAGAATGATACGAGAAGTCTCGTTTTATTGCACACCTTTGACTATATTATCGCAAAATAGTTGTGCGATTTTCGATTGTTTCGCAGCTAATTCAACTGTTTAGTTGCACAACTAACAAAACAGTAGTGTAAAAAACGCACCTCCATATAAGCTCATAGGAATCAAAGCGTGACTAAACAGTTCTGCGATAGTTTAGTTTCATTACAACGTATAGAAATTAAAGTAACATTACAAATATTTAAATGCAACATCGGTAACCAACAACTTTCATAATATGCACAATTAGATCTAAACCAAACCACGAGCTAAGATCCTTATTCCTATCGTCTTAAGATTCAAAATCGCATACAAATTCGATAGTGATAATTGTGACCAATATAGGGCAAGTCATTTGAGTGAAGCAACGGATACGTTGGTCAACGCAAATGTCCACCCGGACTGTGTTACATTATTAGAAATAATAATTTGATATAATCTTGCTAATGTCGAGTACTGATCTTTATACAAACTGGATATGCGGCTGCTTGCAAATAAACGGTTTTTGCCTCTTTGCAACTAAAATCAGTATTGATGTTACTGATAGTACCTAATCTATCTTAATTTTTAGTTCCAAACCTCGCCACCGCTACCAAACGGCGCAAAAATGGCTATAATCAAATAGGCACAAAATACCACGACCTATCCTATCCTTTTGTTAAAGAGGTTACAAATAATTACAGTATATCCATCCCTTTTTATACCTTCGAACATAACAATGATAGCAATAATGTCACATACACGTTCCAAGTGTGGATCGACTTTGAAGACATATCGATAAGAAGGGTTAGAACTATATGATGATTATGATATGATGAATATATGATGAATATGCTTGTTGTTGGTATGGATTTCGTTAAAGGTGAATTGGTTAATCGGTAAATGCCTCTTCAAGGCAAACAGTGGCTATTCAGTCACAAAAAAATGGATTGGTAAGTGATAGATCGATTAGGATAACGAAAACTTGTTGTGTTCACCTTATATAGAGTAAAATGAAGACAGGATAAAGCAATTCTACATTCTAGCTATTACTTATTTTCTTTGTAAAGTTTAGCTTACGACGATGTTCTAATATAGTTGAAATTAATGGGTATTTATTTCGAAGGGCATTTAATTATTGATTGTTTTTAGTGCGCGTTGTTTTAATGCGAAGGTTAAGTTCAAAGTAAATTATAATATTAAACATGTACTTTTATATATTTCGTTTGACGTATTTCATTTACGCGTGTTTCCGCCATTTTGAATACTAATTCACGGTATAAATGATTAATGTTTGTATGTTCTTTATGCGTAAACCACTAATTAAAATTAAACAGTTCCATATAATTAAAGATTAAATATTATTTTTCCTTATGCAAGAAATTATTCTATATGTATATATCTATATCTATCTATACTATTATAATAAAGAGAAAACATACACTTCTTTGTTGCCTAAGATGTCAGCATTTACAGCATATTTTTGAATAATTCTTTCTTTAACAAAAAGTCCTACATTTACGTCACGCTTTAGGCTATATATTTTCACGCCATTAAACTTTTTGGATAAAAACCCTAATGTGGGAAAGAAACCATAAGTTGTTGCCAACATCAAGGAAGCAAGGTTATTATCGTAACAGTAATTTTGCTAGTTAATAGCTAGTTAACACAATCTCTATAAGTTTCTGTCTACGTTATTAAGGAGTCTCAGAAAGCACATGTACATTTTGTGCATTTAAACTACCACATTTGTGGAGCTGTTTCCTTATTGTAAATACTAAAAATGTACCTTTAATATGACTAAGAACAAGATACATGATACAAGACATAAAGGTGTGGTCATACCGACAAACGGAATTAGCATATCGCAAAATCTTATTCAATCTGATTAAGCCAGGTTTAACAGTGATTTACTTTGTTATAACCAAGTTATGTGTAACAATTGTAATGATATAGTAGACGTTTGTAAACGAACATTTTTTATGCCTTTTAGGGGATATTCGGACAGAACGTAGTTACCATTATTCACGAAGTGCCAAATATGTTCTGGAAAAGTCGGGGATTTTATTTAACATTCGTCCGCAAATTAAAAATAATATATAAGTTAACATTTGTTACAGATAAATTATCTTTCTTATGGTGATGAACTTTTTTTCATTCGGCCCAGTAGTTTTTACATAGAATAAATACATATAAAATTACAAAAGTCGTATTTTCGTTCGAAATATACGATTTTTTTCTTCAATACTATATACAAAAAAGGTCAAAAATGTCAAGCGTTAATTAATGCATTTAAATAAATTCATGATTTGTGTGAAAACGTGGCTGAATTCAAACTTACTGTCATCGTAAAAATCCACATTATAGATATCTGTTTTTACTACCTAAGCACCTATCTGTCTATTTACTACCTATTACCGAAGCACGCAAAACAAAAACATGTTGTTATCTCTCTCATTTTCTTGTAACAAATGAGGACAACGATAAGTTTTTGTAATGGTATGTCGGTTGTGGAAACCCACGGTTAGTTTTCACATTGTCGTAAAAAAATGAACTAAAACTCGATCATGACTATTCCTAACAATAAATTATGGAATGTTTTGAGATTACAAAAATGTAATTTGAAACAAGAAACGACCGACGCTTCGCCATACGGGATTCCCCAAAAAATATTCCATCGCTACCTTGATTGAAATAATTTATAAGAGAATGTTAAACTGCATTACTTCGGTAAAAAAGCCAGTGACGTAAGTTTTATGCTCTAAGAAGCTCTTATTAGAGGCGCATTAAATATTAAGACCTTTTTTCACTAAACCACTAGTAGCAGGTTCAGATCGACTAGTTCTATAAGCAATGTATATTTTCTCACGCGACGAGTACAGCTAATTGCTTAGTTGATAGAGTGTCTAAATGACATTGAATTCATCGCAAAAGTAACTCAATTATACCCAAATATAAACCTTATTGCGTCATAAAATAGTACGATGGTTGATTGTTTTTTCATGCACCTTTCTGTTTTTTTACTTCCAACATGAAATTCGACATAATAAGTTTTCTTCATCATATAGTTTGATGAACGACGAAGTTCATGCTATTTAAGCTATACCAGCTGTCGCCCGCGACTTTGTCGGCGCAAAAGGAAAAGACTAACATACTCCGGCATAGATCAGCTAACTTCCAGTAAACGTTCCTTCAAGCA